AAGACAAAGCTTATTCTTGTACCAAAATATTTAACAATTCAAAATACTGAAGTTCTTGCTAACCAAAGATTGGGCTAATTTCATTGTGTCAAAGTTGCACTGGAATTCAAACTTGCTGTAAAATGCTCTTGCAGGTGTTGCATGTATCCTGTGAATTTGCTTTCCAAACTCTCACTTCCATGCAGGGATGTGTAGATTTTTGCAGCCTTTCAGAACTATTCATGCAAAGAGGAAAAACTCTTTTAAGTTGGACTCATGCTCAACTTGGGGTACTTGCTTATGATACTTGGAGAAGGTCTACAGTCATGCCATATTGCCTGTCTGCTACCTGCAATTATCAAGATAGGGCATTGTTTTCTCTTACACTTTGGGATCTGCATGGCTCTGGGTACCAGCTTTGGTTTGCAGATGTGGGAGAAGTACATAATGCTTGTAATATAGGGAATATAAAAGTGGCTATGTCACTGCAGTGGTGTGGGTGTAGTATTGTCAACCAGTTTACATTTGGTTTCCCTCATACCTGCAGCAGTGTACATGGACTGGTATTGCTGTTTTCTACAACATACAGCTTGCTAGCAGAGCAGTCCATGAGAGATGCTGCCTTTTTCCACTGACAGTTGCATAACATGCCTCCAGCAACTGTAGCTGTTTCATGAAAAGCATCACAAAGAAACACCTAGCTCATACAGAGCTTAATAACCTTAAGAGAATTCTTCCTACTCCTGATGTTTCCTTCTGCTTCTACCACCTTGCCATGTTTCTCTTCCTGATGAGCTGTTGGAGCTTCCACTTGGCTTGGCTTTCCTTGCTTCCCACTTGTAACGCTACTACCTTGCATTTTCACATGCTTAGACAGGCCTCTAAGTGCCCTGGTACTGAAGAACATGGGCAGTTGTAGAAGCAGATCAGAACCACATGGCCAGGCTGTCCTTTACTGGGAATCATTGAAATGGAGCCTATGAAACAGACCCTTACCTGCTGAATATAAGCATGTTCAGATAGTGGTCTTGCATCCCTCAAGTAGCAGTCTTGCATTCCATTGAGTAGCTGTACTTGCAGTCTAGAAGTTCATTGCTTTAAATGATAAAGATGGGCTAGAATCAAAAATGTTCCACTATCTCTTTATGGGCTGTGCAGCGTAAGAATTGAACAAGTAGAGATGTACAGCATAGGTGCAAATGCCATGTTTTGCTGAAGCAGGGAAGTTGTGTTAAATGGAAATGAGACTATTTGTTTGGTAACTAGTGGATTTTTTTAGGGTTGGCAAGCCAGTTGATTAACAGGTCAGATGTGCAATTAACTGGTCAATTGACAATTTTTTTTTTTTTGGACCTGTTGTTCAAAGATTTGTAGCAATTTTAGGAAAAAATACTTCTTTTATAGTTTCCTTAACATAGGTTTTTTTTTACATTCTTTTGGTGCACTTAATGGAAATTTGTGCTTTTTCTGTATATTATTTAGATCTGTTGGCAGTTTTTTACAACTTTTGACCAATCTTTGCCTGGTGAATTGACCAAACTTTATTTGACCTGTCAGATACGCAGCCCTAGTGTCTTGGGTTTTTCTTTTAAACTGGATGTGGATTTTGAGTTGTTCTTTTCATTGCCCAGGAAACTAGAGACTTAAAGTATGAACAAATAATAGTGAGGTTAAAAGGTGGGAAGGATGTGCTGTATGTCAGTTGCTCTGAGGTAGCTGTCCATGTGCCTGCCCTTAACCTGAGATAAGGAAGCAATGGCTATGCTACTCCAGTTTAGCTCCCTGGCACTGTAGGGCAGTGATTATGAACTCTTTTAATTTTTTTTTTTTAGACGTCGGACCCCCTTGGGAACTGCCAGCTCCTGGATTTTTTTTGACTACTGTACCAAAAAAATAGACTTTTGTTGCAAGTGATTCAAAGACTGCAACAAGTCAGTGATTTTGACCTGTGGATTCCAATTTGAAATCTCTGGGTTTGCCTTGTGAATAATATTTGTATACTTAGCAGTATTATCATGGGGTGCCTTGATATCCTATCAAATGTGTCATGAGGTGCCACACAAAGGTTCTGCGTTACTCTGGCCAAGAATTACCTCTGTAGAGTAAAAGTAGGGGCACAAGCAATTACTGTGTGGCACCTGCTCTGCAGTAATTTACTACAATTTTAGTTATTCATACCCCCTTCTAATTTGCTAAAGTTTGTTATTCATTCCTTGCTGTGGTTAAAATGTGCATTTAGTTAACTGTTGAGATGCGCATTTCTCATTGTAGTGCTGCTGCTTCTCCAGAGCTCCTGATGCGGCCATCTGCTGCTATAGACAAAATTACAGCATCATACTTCAGTTAACTAGCTAGCCAGGTGGGGGTGGGGGGAGTTATTAATTAAAACTTTTTCCAGTCATCCTAAGCTGTTACAACTCTCCTTCCATTATTCCCTGACATTATAGCCACTTGCTTGTACAAGTGGAAGTCAAACTTGTGCGTGGTTATCAGGCAACTTAAGATTGCCAAATATGGCTTGGTTGTCTTAACGAGTCATCTTAACCAGGGCAAACAAAATGCTGTATCATTATAGCTCTAGGGTGATGAGATCACTGCTAGTATCAGACTGCGCAAGGAGTCTTCAAGTGGTTGGTGCACCATAATCAAAGACTTAGCATCATTGGCCACTTTGAAACATTTGCTGTGGAGCACCATCTCATATGACCACCTCTGCTTCCAGCACACTGTCATACCTCTGGTCAGTCTCAATTAGCAGTTCCACATTTAAGAGTGAATTTCTGAGTTTCCAGACTGAATGCTCCTAACATTTTTGGAATCTCAAATGACTTTCCAGCAGCACTGGATTTCTTTATAAGGAAGCAACTCGTCTCCCAAATGGCAGGCACATTTCTGGCTCTGTGCAATAATGCAGGAATATGCTTTTGGCTGCATAGTTCATATTAAAACTGTTACAGCTTTTTGCTAAGTTATTAACCTTTTTTCCAAACTGATAACTATGATGACATGGCTATGAATTGTTTTAGGGTAATGGTTTTCAACTTTTTTTTCATTTGCGGACCCCTAAAAAAAATTGAATGGAAGTACAGACCCCTTTGGAAATTTTGAATGGAGGTGTGCACCCCTTTGAATTGTGTGTGGGTATTCACATACTTTTGATTATGTTCATCTTTTGATGACCCCTTAGAGATGGTCTGCAGACACCACCACCACCCTCCTCCCCTGCCCCAGGTCCATGAACCACAGGTTGAAAATGACTGATTTAGTTTGGAGTAAAGGTAAAGGATTGGCAGTGGAGGATCATGTGGCATTAGTTGTTGCTTCCATAACATGAGGAAATGTTGAATCCTGGTATCCTTCATAAGCAACCACAAATTCCAGAACCTAGCATCTTGCTGTCTTAAACATTTGGAAGCTCTGTTGCAGATTTCCTGGAAAGATTGCAGCCAATGAGTCTCAGTGCCTTTCAACAAGCACCCTAATTGCATTCAGTATGAAGCCACGTGTAGTGTCGTCTTAGTTTCTGTTACTCCAGTCTTTGTTTTAAGAGGTTAACTTAAATTCAGAATTGATGCTTTTCTTCATACTGTAAGGATTTTCAGCTTCTAGTTTTCTGCTACAGTAGTATGTCTGGGCGCCAAAAGGGAACCAGATCATTAGAAGGAGCTTTGAGCATTGCACCTGATCCTTATTCTGCAGTAAAACTCTCTTGTCTTCTAATATTGCTGGTCTCCGCTGCAACAGATAAACTGCAGACTAAATGGCTGCAGCCCATAAACTGTCAAAAGCAAAATTGCCACTGTTACCAGTCCAAAATCTTATTATAAGAACCAAGTTTACTTGCAAAGATCCTCCCCCAACACTAGCTGCATCCGGTTGTTTCATGGCACGGGTGTGCTTCTATATTGTAGCCAGGAAAGAACGGGAGTGCCTGAGTTCTAACGCAAGGCATGAACTGCCAAATTTAAGGGCAGCATTACATGAATTGTGATGTTTGAGTTGACCAAGGAAGGGATGGAGAGAGGATTGCTACATTCTTGTCTCAAGCTTGCCACATGTGAACTATATAAAATGCTGCAACCTCAGGTCTGTATTAGTTTCCCCATGCCCTTTCTCTTGCCTGCTCTAACTTCAGTGTTATCCTCTTGGCAATATCTGAACTGCCAGTGTGGTCCCCACACATGGAAGTATATCTCAGTGTACAAACCTGATGATGGCATTCAAAGCTGTTGGAGATGCATGGGAAGAAGGCCCAGCTGTTCTTCAGTTCTGAAGGATCAGTGGACTTGGGGGAGAGTTCAGTCTTTCTTAACTTCCCTTGCTGGCATTTATTCCCAGTTGAGTTTCTTTTAATGTTAGTTCTGGGTTTCCATCTACTCCTGTATAAAGAACCTCTTGGTGTTTAGGAGAGGAGGGAGCATTCCATGAGATGATCAAAATTCCCTCATTGGATTATTTTAATCAAGAGCAAAAAGCTCATCAGACTGCATCAAGGTAATGTAAGATTGCAAGTTGGTTGGTTTCTTGTCTGACTGGTTCTTAATAAAAGCATGAAGCTCCTGAGTTACTTACACAAGTTATCTTGTAGCTGTTCAGAGCTGAAGCCTAAATGTTGTACCTAGGCATTCACTACATAAACTGTCTGTAGCAAATAGTGCGAACCAAAGCTGCTTATGAGGCCAAAATATGCCTATAATTTGTCTTTCCAAGACCCAAAGTTCATTTGAAAGATACTTCAGTGCAAGAAGGGTCTTCCTTTTTTTCCACAGAAACTCAGTTTCAGTAACGGATCTCAAAGCTAACTGTAGTTGGGCATTTTCAAGTTAAACCATCCTCTCCTTCTGCAACTACTGACTGATTATTTCAGATCTTGACAGAACAGTTGCTCCTTTTGTATTATGTCAAGAATGGCTTGTCTTCTGGTCTTAAGTGGCTCTTGCATACCAAGCTGTACAGTAGCTCCCTAGATTGAAGTGAACGATCAAAATGGTGGACCTGAAGTTCTTTATGGTTCTCTCAACAGGCATCAGGAGTACAAGTGGCTGATGAAGTGTGCCGTATTTTCTATGATATGAAAGTTCGGAAATGCTCCACTCCTGAGGAAATCAAGAAAAGGAAGAAGGCTGTTATCTTCTGCCTCAGCTCAGACAAAAAGTGCATTGTTGTGGAAGAAGGCAAAGAGATCCTAGTGGGAGATATTGGTGTCACGGTTACTGATCCTTTCAAGCACTTCGTGCAAATGCTGCCTGAAAAGGATTGCCGTTATGCCTTGTATGATGCAAGCTTTGAAACAAAGGAATCCAAAAAAGAAGAGTTGATGTTTTTCTTGTGGTAAGCTGCAAATGTGGTTTATGTAATTTAGCCTTTTAGTTTAGCATATACAGTGTTCTCTGTGGTGCAAAATTAGCTGGCAGCATATTATAAATTTATCAGCCTGTTGCTGAGCTTTGTGATAAGGTGGCTGATCCCATTATCATAAACGTACATGCAAAAGATTTCTAGGTGTTCATTTTCCACCAGACCACTGCTTATCGGTTCTCTTGAGCTTGTGTGCAGGATATCAAAGGTTGTAACTACTTTCCTTTTGGTCTGTCCAACCCAGGGCACCAGAACTAGCTCCTCTGAAAAGTAAGATGATCTATGCAAGCTCCAAGGATGCTATCAAAAAGAAATTCCAAGGTATGTAACATAGCTAACACTGCCTGACCTGAACTAGATTTCTTTTGCAGTGCAATTGCTAATGGCCTTGTAGGTACCAATAATGGATGAGTACTTCAAGTGACATTACCTGTAATATGGTTAATGTTCCTGATAAGAGAGAGACTGCAGTTAAAATTGTGCATGTGCAGTGAAATGGCCCCTGGTGTTGAAGTCTTGGCATTAAAACAGATTGCTCAAACTCTGAAACCATTACGGCACCAGGCACAGCAATGCTTCCACAGTAGCGTAACTTGGAAACAAGGTTTAGATTTTTACTATTAATCTGGACCTTACTGGTAGCTGTCTCTGAATGGCACGGTATCACAGCTCTGCTTACTGAAGTACAAAGCCTTCCAAACCAAATACTACACATTTCAAGAGCACTTGTGTTGACATAGCAAGTGATGCTCCTACATTAGCTTGGCTGAATATAGCCTTTAAAGGAGCATTAGTGGACAGGGAGTATAGCAGAAGCAGCTGGATGTATATTACATGTCTCACTTCTCAAGGACTTGATGTAGTCAGAAGGTTATACATCAACTCTTACTCAAAACGGTATTTGCACCTTCAACCTAAAATTGATTTGGATCTTACTGGTTTGAACTTGGGCACATCTCTGCAGCAAGAGAATGTTGGGAGCTGAATTCAGTAGTGCTAAATAGCCACAGCAAGGAAGGCTATTAGACTGAGAGCTGCCCTCCAAAGCAAGAGACAAGGATGCTATCATCCACCTGCTGTCTCCAGCATGGCTGTTGCCCCTTGCACTAGCAAGTCATGCTAATTTCCTTCTTCCAGTTCTGCTGGACATGGTCTGTTTCCCTGTTGACTTACCCATACCTGAACCTTGCTTTCTAGATCGCCTGTCAGTAGTAGGTGGCCCTTCATATATTGCATCAGAACCCTGTACCAAAAAGCTACGGTACTAATGTAAAACTGCTAGTCTTGTTCGCAAAGGAGACTAAAACTGGGAAGAGCAAAACTAGCATGCACCCTGGTGAATTGCACATTCCAGAGTTGCACAGCTGCACCACGGATCTGTGCATGAATGCCAAAAAGACGGTAAATTCAGTAGGACTTGAGCATCTATGGCAATGGTTCTTAACCTTGTTTAGACTCAAGGAACCTCCCTTTGCTGTTCTTAATTCAGTCACACCCTCTGGGGCTGGATATAGGGAGTGCTGCTTTCCCAGTTCAAGGGAGACCTGTCTCCCCTGCTTTTGTCTTGGTGAATAAAGTCCAGGGGCTGTGTTTCACTTGGTGGAAAGTGCAGGGGTAGAGGTGGCACTTCCTGTATCCTGCCCAGTAGTGGTGTCACTGGCTTGCTCGAGAGCTGGGACTGATGGGAGTAGCTTCATGGTGGCCCCTCCCATCAGGCCAGGCTGCAGCAAGGTATCCTCTCTTGCCATAGCAACTTCCCATCCAACCAACACAGCATCTCCTGGAAAGAGCAGGATGGCACCCTGGCTCAGAATTGCAGACCTCTTAAATTCAGGGCAGGACTGCTATGTGCTTGAAATGACTAGGGTGCCTCCTTTAGCTCTCCAACTGTACATGTTTCTGATAGATTATGACATATAGAACAACTGTTGCATCACTGAATTTTTTTGCCTCTCTTTTTAGGCATAAAGCATGAATGCCAAGCAAATGGACCAGAGGATCTCAACCGAGCTTGTATTGCTGAGAAGCTAGGAGGTTCCCTAGTCATAGGTTTTGAAGGCTTTCCTGTGTAGATACCAAACAGTGCCACAACTCTACAAGCATTCCACATTTCATATATCCCAAATGTAAAGCAAACATCCTAGGCCAGGGTTTCACTAACTGTAGGGAATCTGTCTTGTAGAATAAAGTAGACTCTTGAGCTGTAGTTCATATATGTACAAATGACCCTAAATAAATCAAGTCTAAGGATCATCTCTGTGTATTAATACTTGCATTGGCTGACCAATTGATAGACATAATCAGGCAGGTTAATAACAGCCTCTAAAGCTTCTGGTTCAGCACCTCAAGGGACGGGGAAGTCTGGTTTCTCTCTCTTTCAAGTTGGAGCAAATTAATGGCTCTTCCTGACTTCTTTTTTTTGTGGCTGCCAGCCAGCCAGGTTATGAAATTCTTCTCATCTGTTGTTTTTTAACACAAGATTAAGGCACCTTTTTAAGTCATACAGTGATGTGAATACATCTGTGTAAGCATGAAGATAGGTATTAATACCATAAATAGCTGACTTACAATTGCTAAACAGTTCCAGTGCTATACTAGTAAATAGCTAATCCTTCAGCTAAATTAAAGTATAAATAGGCATGCTTGCTTAGAGAAATAGTCCTCAGTCTCTTTGTAAACCTACTGTCTTCTACTCATGTTTAAAGGCTCCCTTCTGGTACATTCTCTAATTAATGAAGTGACTTAACACCTCTGCTCACATGAGTGCAAACAGTGTTGCTCTTTAACAGATACTCCAAAGGTGGGGTTTTTGAGGCTTCTTGATTTGAGTCTTGTTTCAGGCTCTTCTATTTATTTATAGCACAGCTACTGCAAGCATTTGTTCTAAAAGCCTGCAGTGAGTTACACTTGTTCTCTGTTCCCTTGTATTAACAAAACCTGGATTGGAACTAGTCTGATTTAGTTTAACTAGGTAAAAAAACAAACTAGTCTGATCAAAATGGCTTAACCCAGACTACTCTTCAAAGTTGAGCTTCTAAAAAGCTGTGGAAATGCATAGAAATGTATTTCCATCTGCTTTGAAATTTGACTTGAAGCTGCTTTCCACCAGCAACAGAACACATCTGACCCAATATAAATGCTGTGAAGCTTCCAAGTGTAAATTGTGTATAAAAGGCAGTTTTAACTAGTCTTGCATGGACTTGTTCTGATTTCATGATGGAAAAACTAGCTTCTGATGCACTGTTGCACTCTGTGCTGTGCCAAGCCCTGCCTGTCTCAAAAGGGGGAGTTTACCTTTCTTTAGTTAATGCCTGACCCCCTCTCCAGCTTCCAGGGTGACAGTTCCTGAAAAGCGTACAGCAGATTCTGCACTACAAGGCAGAACAAGCCAAAGACCTTCATACCCAACAAGCTTAAGCAGTTCCTTCCTGTGCCTCCTGCCAGTGATGTGGAAGAGTCGAAAGATGCAGTGTGTCAGCAAAGACAATGGTATGCACATATGCATCTCTTGAAGTGGATGGTGCTTCTCTTGGGCCTCGCTCTTGCATAACAAGTTTGTTGGCTGTGGTGCAGCTGTTCAGTTAGTGTTGGCTGCTGCTCCCTTTCCTTCATAGCCTTTTCCCTCCAGTAGGCAGCTACCCTAGGCTTAGCAGGGGGATGAGGTACTGGTTGGAGCATAGCCTGGGTTCTTGCAGTCTAACCCATTGTACGCCTCTATTTCCCGACAAGGAATGGGCCTCATAAGCATGAGTTCTTTTTAAACCTCAGTAACTCCCTGTGTGTGATCAGTGTGGATGCAAGGTGTGTCTGACAGGCCTTGTCAGAGCTGCTTTGTGCATGCTAGAAGTGAAATGGTGTTACTGGCACTAGTTTGATGGAGTAGAACGGAAGCTTGCTCGTTAACATGCCCTTGGGTCCTGCTAATGCTAAAATACTACTGCTGCTGGGGGCTTAGAGGTAGCCAAAGTGTGACGCAACCTTTCAGCTCTCTTAATTCCTTCCAGATGCCCTTCTGTGGGGGACTTGCTGAGATATAGTTTGCTCCTCAGGTTAGGCTAGCCAGTCCACACATCTCCTAGTAGGTAAGCACAGCATTTTTTTTTTGGATATGGGAACAGCTGGAATAGGTACAAAAAAACACCACCACCTTGCAGAGTTGGCAGTGTAGTCTGCTATAGCTCCTTGGCATCTACCAGAAAAGTAGAAAGTCTGCCTTCTCGCTAAGGGTATAACACCAAAACATCACTGCTAGTAAAACTTCTGTGTCTACCCAGCAGCCTGGAATAGTCTTAGTTGTTACTGCTCAGATCTTTCTGGCCATTTAACTTGAAATATTCACCCACAGGACCTGCAGACTCCTTGAGCTAGGAGAATTGGAGTAAGATTAATACTGAACTGAATTGCTCTTCGTTTATTCATATTGTGTAGGTGGTTACAAGTTGGTAAGTGATGGTAGGGTTTATTGTTAAGTTGAAGAAAGCAGCAAGTGAAGAAAGGTTCAGCAGTAAATGCTTGTGTGCAATGACTACATATTCTGGTTAAACCTGGTAATAGATTGTTACATATTAATTAGGTAGCCTTTAATGTGCTATCAATATAAATTGTTGCAGTCTGGAATTATCTAGTCTAAGGCACAGATCTGCCAAGTATCAAGCACTTCCTGAAACGGAGAAGGAGAAAGCTATTTTAAAATTGCTGTTACCAATGTTCTAACTTTGCATAATTCTGTGACTAATAGCCCAGTAAAAGTTCCTGCTTGCCCTAGGTGGCTGAAATACTTGTATCTGTCTAAAGTCCAGCCTTGAACAGATGTGGCTTGAGTGACAAACTGGGAGTGGCACTGCCTAACAAACAAAGACTCCAAGTGAGGTTTACTGCTGACCTATGTTTCTTAAGAAATGGATTAACATTTCTAGGAAAAACCCCAGGTCAACTGGAGTCTATGATAGTTTTGCCACAATTTTTGTTCCTTATGTCTGAAAGGGTCTAGTGCTGGTGGAGATGAAGTGCAGAGAAACCAGGAACAGATTCCATCTGAAAGATGGTTAGACATTGCCTCCAGCATAAGAGGACTTTAGGTATATAGAACAAGGATCCTCAAAGGTGGACCACCCCGCCCCACGCTTGGAGGAACTGAGCCATACTGACTTCATTAGCACTTGCATGTGCTTTTAGACTGGATAAAGACCAGATATCCCAGCTTCAGTTGATCTGAGTGACTCTTGGCTGCCTTTCTGGAAGCCTTCTCAGGAACAGTACTGTTCTCTAGAACTAGCAAGCAGCAGCTACTTGAATTTGTGGTGCTTTACTAAGTAAATCAGTATCTCTGATCCTGGGGAGAGGGGTGGAGGGTTCTCCATAGGTCCTCTACTTCTGTTCGTATGACAGGTTGGAGAAGAGAGAGTTTGGTGTCAGGGAAAAGGATTTCTTCTCACCTGTTACATTTTCTTCAAGCTATAATTTTCTTCCTGTCCCCATGATCTTTGAGGGGACAAAACTTGACATAGGAAACTTTCCTTTGCATGAATCTCCTATGTCTTTAGGGCTAGTGGGGTTGGGCTTTCTGGCAGGAGAGAGGGAAGGAGGAATAACCTAAATGAATCTCTTGGAGAAGTGAAGAGCAGCCAGAGCAGCTTTCTCTCACAGCCATGTAGGCATATGTGTTCTTTATTAATTGCATAGAGAGGCCTAAAGCATTTCAAGCACAATGGTTTGAACTTGTAGGCATAGAGTCATTGGAGATTGTACCTTGACTTCAGAAAATGATGTGCCTGTCATTTCTCTGAGCATCAATGGTGGTTGTAGGGGCAGCATCTCTGAAAAGCCCTTTAGGGGTCAACTTTAGACTAATTAATGCAATCTTTCTCTGTGAGACCAACCTACTGTCCTGTAGGGAGCAGATGGCAGAGGTGGGGATGAAAGGCAGCCCCCTAGATTGTTATGCTGCTGTTCCCTGAACTTCACCCCTTTGACCAGATGTGCTGCTGCATGGCCCATCCCTGCCTTCAATATACCTGCCAGTGGTAAGATAAGCGGGGTCCCCATCATGGAGACAGGTTCCTGCTGTGAGTAGGGAGGTCTCACTGTGGTCAGGGCCTATATGTGGTGGTACTAAGTCAGCTGGTGGAGGAGCATTCCTTGCCCTGATCCCCAGGGAGTGGAAGGAAATGAAGATCCTCCCCCTTCTCAGCCCAGCAAGAAAGAGAGAGCTCAGCCTATGCATCTATGCATGTGCTACCCACCATTTGCAGCAATAAAGGTGTACATGATCTCAGTGGTAGGTGCCTGTGTGTGAACAGAAAAAGTGTGAACTCAGCTTGGAAGCCACCCAGCTCTGGAAGCAGCAACTGGAGCAAGGCAAGGTGGATTTTTAGCAGCTGAAGTGTGGATGTGGGCAAGGGCTGGCTAACATTTTCCATCAATGGGCAGTGGGATGGGCACAATGGAATCCTTGGTAACCAGTTGGTAGCATAACTGCAATCTTCTAAATGAGCCTGGCAAAGCAGTGAGTACTGCTGCTTATATTGACTAGAAACCAGGGAAGAACTCTTGGTGTGAGCAATGGCTTGGAGCTGTTTGTCTGCTCCAAGCCTTCGTGCTGATGTAGCTACACCAATAGAAACAGTGGAATTGGGTACAAATCTCTGGTGTAGGTGAGGATGTTAGGAGCAGAAGAAAGTGACTGAGAGCTGGTGGAAGGACCTGAAGCAAAAGCATAGCCTAGAGGGAAAAGGAAAGCAGAAGTGAGCAAAGTGCAATGCACTAATAGCCTATGGAAGAGGAATTGGCAACAAGGCAATAGAAATTTTGCAGGCAAGAAGAGCTCTCCAGTGTGTGCTTGAGGCAGAAAGACAAGGCTGTAACAAAGAGTGTAGGGTGCCAGTGCAGCAGTTATGTAGGTGGCTGAAGGGATGTCAGAAAGAGGGCTGGTAGATGCACTGTATATGAAAACAAGCTGGTATGGGTTACATTGCTGGAGTTACAGCAGCAGAGGTTGTAGCTGTTATGTGGAGGTTGGCTGCTTGAAAGTTGAAGCAGGTAGATGCATGTCTGCAGTGGGCTGTAACCCCAGCCATGCTAACTTATTTCAGCTGAGCACTTGGCCCAGGGAATCTTTTAAAGTCTCTCTTCTTTTATAAGATGGAAGCTCTTACTACAGAAAGTGTCTGTGCTGTGGAGGTTGGCTGGACTTGACTGCAAGGCTCTTTTACCCTCATTGTCCACAATGGAGCCCCCCATGTACAAGGTGGT